AATGCACTCTGGGAGACTCTGTCACACCTGCAGGACTCTGCTGATCATCTTGATGTAATTGATTAAGTTTGATTTGTATAGAGGCCATCCGACTGATCATCATTTAATGCTAGAAGATCTTTTCTGATTCTTATGTTCCTAAAACCATGAAAATTTGTCATTCTAGACGACCTTTGGAAAATTCCAACAGTTTAAAGAAATGTGCACGAAGACGGCCACTGAAACCCTGGAGAACGTCCTGAAAGTCCAGTGTTTCCTGAAGCTTTCTTACCTGAAAGGCCTTCCAAAGTCCAGGCTGGCTGTCTACAGCAACGTTTTTCAGCTGGGATTGCAGACCTGCAGCAGTTTCACAAGAGCTCTTGTACTTATTGCTCTTGTTCCTGTTTTCTAGAAGCAGTTTAAGAAATGTTGACCATTTCCACTGGAAACTGAACATTTCTGCTCTCCTGGTTGTTAGGGACAGCTCCTGGTGCATCCGTGTGTCTATATGAAAACATTTGAGCTGGTGGTGAATAGAGACCTGGCTGTTTTTGAGGAGAGACGGCTGCAGGACTTGCTGATGTCCAGAGTTGGCGCTCCTAAGTTTTCCATCAACATTGAGGATTTCCACTCCCGGTGGAATCGGAGGCTCTCTGAGCTTCTGGACAAACGTCAGCTCTACCAGCAGGTAACATCTGCTCCTCTAATGAACCCGTTTAGAAAGTTAACATGGAGTTGGAATGAAGCCCCTTGTGGTCGATAAGGTACTGCATGTACAGGACGGTTTGTCAGCGCTGCCGTTTATTCAAAAGAAAAGCTGAAGTTATTGATGTAAAGAAAAATCCAGGAGTACCCATCTGATCTGAGGAAGTCAAGTTATACCTGCTGATGTCGTTCAACAATTTGATTCTTTTTAACGGCTTCATGGCGTTAGAAAGTATCTGCCTGTGTAGGTGGAGTTTGGATCTACATTGAAAGTGTCCAAATGGTAAAGACAGCCGTCCGACTGCCGTTCAGCATCCGCCCCGAGTCTGTTGTGGGTCTGAATGACTGCATTCAGCTCTTGGTTTGACATGATGCATCTCGATTTACTCTGTAGAAAATGGAGAGCATTTTGGAGAGGCTCCAGACCAACCTGACTTCATACATCGCAGTGAGACGAGCTGAAGTTCAGGAGAGGCTCAAATTCAATGAGTCCATTGCGGCCGCCTCCAGCCCGCCGGTCATCAGCGAGCTGGAGAGAATCCTCAGCCGGGAAGCTGAACGGAGGAGACTTGTGGTCCAAAACGGGACGATCCCTTTACAGGTGCACTTTACCAAAAGCTAATGCTTTGTTTCTTCTAGTAAGGGTTCAGTCCATCTGATTTTGAATATTGCATAATGCTAATGTTTTTTTAAACATTTTTTGTCTTTCCTCTCCGGCTGGCTCTGGTAGGTCATCAGTGATGAGCTCAGTAAGATTTTGGATGAACTAATGCAGATGGATAAACGGACAGATGATCAGCTTACAGAAGAGAGGAGGAAGACTTCATCACTGCTGCAGCAGCTGGAGGGAACGCCTGTGGAACCAAACCTGTCCTCGGTCCAGGACTACCAGCAGCTTCAGCAAGCAGCAGGAGAGCTTACAGTGAGTCTGGTTTATAGAGGTCAGCCTCTTCAGTCTGGGAGGAAAATGCTGACACACCTGTTGGTTATGTGTGTTTCAGGCTCTGCAGGAGCAGCTAGAGGAAGCGACGGCTGAAGCCAAGAACAGGGAGTCCAACCACAAGCAGACCACTCAGCTCCTGCAGACTGAACTGCTGGACACTAAAGTTCTTGTAAAGGAGAAGGAGAACGCAATCCTGACCTTAAAGGTCAAACTGGAAGAGTGTGAAGTATGACTGAAGTTTCTCCGTACAGGTCCTGCTTTAGCATTTAGCTTCACGTTGCTAAGGCCGGTTGTTCTCTCTCGTTTAGAAGAAGGCATCACTCAGTGCAGCTCAGCTGAAAAACCTCCAGAGCAAACTCTGTGAGGAGGAGGTGAAGCTGGCCTCCATCACACTGGAGCACCAGCAAGAGTAAGAGCCCCTGGATTTATCCGCTTTATTTCATTTATCCGCTTTACTCTTCAAACTGCAGAGTCAAGACTCTGCAGTTTTGACTCTGCAGAGTTGAGGCATCAATGTGTGTGAGGTTTTCTTCATTGAAAGCAATGAAGAAAAAAGTGAGGCTTTCTTTTTGTAATGAAACATTAGCTGGATTTTTTTTTTCTTTTTTTTTATTTTTTTTTTATGGCATGGAAAGTCAGAACTAGCAGAACATTAAATGCAATGTTGCTCAAACGATTTCAGAAGAGTCCACAGAGCAGAACTGTTTGGACTGAAGAGGCCATAGACACTAGTGACGACTGATTAAGACCTGCTTGTTGCTGTGATGTGTTAATGTTGGCTCTGCTTTCAGGATGGAGAAGATGAAGACGGTGCTGAGTGTGAAGGAGGAGTCTCTGAGGAAGCTGAAGCAGGATCTGAGATCACAGCATCAGGGCGAGGAGTCGTGTAAGTCAGTCTGTAGAGAATCGGCTCAATACGTCACAAAGTTTTGATTTTTTTATTGTTTAACTACATTTCCCTCACAATTCGAGGTGAAATAGAAGCAAACATCAGTCATGAATGTTATAACTCTGGTTCATATTCAGTTTTTCAGAGGGCCACAGGTTTACAAACTATTGTATCATTGGAAACGTCTTGCTTTTTGTTCTCCGTTTAGTCCTCACAGGGAAGGAGCTTCACGCTCGACTGACCAACCCCAGAGGTACGATGATCCAGAGCAGCGTTCTGCTGGAGAAGACCAGGCTGGAAGAAGAGGTGAAACAGCTCTGGCTCCGGATCACAGAGCTGGAAAGGTAATGGGATCAGTTCGGTTTTTATGTCCATATGTGCTGTAGAGAACGTCAGGAAGCGGTTGGTTTGGATCAGGTTCATACACTTTAAAACAACCTAACTGGCGTTGGGACTTCTGCCTCAGATTGGTTTAACTCTAAACAAGATCTCAGACAATCAAGTTTGTTTGTACAGCACATTTCAGCCACAATTCAAAGTGCTTTACATCATGAAAACACGGTGAATGTGAGCAGTTGTTGCAGAACCAGAAGAAAAAACTGCACCAGTGCTGTTGGTTGTGATGCCGGGAAAGTTCAGGCTTCTGACCTCTGACCTTTCTCTCATCAGCTTGGTTTCCTGCCAGCAGGAGGAGACTGCTAAGTGGAAGAACAGAGCAATCAGTCTTAAAGGGAAGAGCAAAGCTGAGCAGGACAGGCAGACCTCCCCCTGTACTCCTAAGAAGAGGGCCCTGTCTTCAGCCTCAGACTGCATCTTGTTGTTCAGCCCCACCAAAAAAAGTTACCTTCCTCCTAAGAAAGCCCTGGATTCCCCTCGGAAACTTGTGGCGTCTCCTCGGAAGCCTCTGGTCAGCGCAGCCTCGCTGCTGGACTCTCCCAAAAGCAGCTTTTTCAATGCAGGTGAAAGTTCAGAGCTGCTGACCAGAAACTGTCCCACACAGTTCTTCGATAACTCCAGCCTCGGAATCAAACCAGGTAGGTTCTCGAGTCTAATAATATTCATATTCTGTTGTGCCACTTCCAAATTCTGAAGTAGGAGTCTAGATTTCAATCTGCTTTGGAAGTCTGTAGTCTGATCTGCTGGTGTTTAAGTTTTTATGTAAATTTATGATTTTCATTTTATTGTCTCTTTGCAGATGAACCTGCTACTGAAAAACTGGACTTCTGGAAAGATGACAACTGCAAGACCCAGTGAACTAAGTTTGACTGTATTTTAAATGTGTAAGAAAAAGAATTCTAAATAAAGTTTGTTAATTAATGCTAAGAAAAGCTATCAAGTTTTACCTCTGGTTTTTACATGTGACGTGATTAGTATACCGCTCAAAAAAATAAAGGGAACATTTCACTTTAATTTTGTGTGTGGCTCCAAATCCAGGCCTCCATTGGTTAATAAATTTGATTTCCATTGATGATTTTTGTTGTCAGCACATTCAACTTTGTACAGAACAAAGTATTCAATGAGAATATTTCATTCATTCAGATCTAGGATATTATTTGAGTGTTCCCTTTATTTTTTGGAGCAGTATATAATACCAGTCATTGGGACATTTACAGGAAAATATTAATACGACAGCAAGGTGGGAAGAAGGGATTATATACAGTAGTTTCCCGGCCAAAACGGGACACTTGACAGATATGCTTTATGCTGCGGTCCAAATTATTGGTACAGTATTTTCACTATTGTTTGCTATGGGCCGAATCGTTAACAGTTGCGATTCTGCAGTAACTTCTATTCACAGCCGCTCACCTCCAGCCCGGGTCAGATCCATCAGCAGTGGAGCACAAACACACCACCTCCTGATAAAACAACTGGGGGCTGGGGGGAGACCTCAAAGATACTTGGGGCATCAAGGATAAAAGGGGCAAAGGCTCAAGTTTCCTCCGCCCACGCCCTTCAGCCCCCATGCTTATATATATATATATAGATATAGAGATATAGATATATAGATAGATAGATTCAAAATGTATTTTAACAAGGTTTCCATTCATTCAAATTCTGTCACATATACTGTAGAACCACATATCCAGCAACTTATACTTGAGAGCAAATTTTGAGTAAAAAGTTTGTTCTTGTTGAATAATGACTGAATTTATTCTTAAAAAAAAATCTTCAAAACCCCATCAAACAAACTTTCCTGAAATTACATAATTATGGAAGACCTTTTTTATGTTTTGGATGCATTTTTAAAAATGTTTTACGATGTTCATATCAATATCAAACACAAAGAAAATCCTGCATGTTTAGTTATAAAATATTAAGAAGGCAGAAGAAATTTTACGAATTTTATTTGATAAGAACGATTTTGTGGCTCTTAAATTCGTACGACTTTGAGTCACAGCTAAAGTGTGGAATCTCCGTTTTCCGGCGCAGGACCTTGTGTTACCTCGTCCTGCCACTAGATGTCACTGCCCCCTCTCAGTACAGACATGCGGCGGCATGCAGCAGCAGCCGCCCGGTCACGGGGACTCCTGACAGGGACTCCTGCCCCCCCCTCCCTGTATATTTCCGCCTATCCGGCGTTTCCAGTATTCATTCATCTCTGCCAGAGCTGCGGCTCGGTCTGCTCTGACAGCATCCTACCATCCATCCACTCGTCTGTCCACCAATCTGCCTCCATCCCTCCTTCTAATCCAGCTGCGCGTCGTGTTCGGATCTCCATCTCAGAAGGTCAAACATCCCTTTCATCCACCGAGCCAACTTTTCCTCTTCATTCCTCCCCTCCTGATCTGCGGGGATTATTTCTCCAGTCCGGTGAGTCTGTTATTTCTTGAAGGTACATTATATGTGCAGGTGTGTTATATGTGACCGCGCCGCATTATTCAGGTGTGGAGCAGAGCGGACCTGAGGAGGCTTAACATTTTACCCGGAGGCGGAACCTTTAAGGAAGGTCATGGCATGTTCTCTGTGAGATCAAAGATTGTCTCAAAGCAAAACAGACTAAAGCCGTTTCTATGGCAAAGCTTAACATTCAATGATGAAATATGGAAAATAATCTCGCTAAAATAAAACTGACAGATGAAATGAACTGCATCGAGAGCAGAGAAAGAAACTGTTTCATAGTATAATTCAGATATGCAAACTAAATTGTGCAGTAAATCACATTTTCAGGCAAAAAGGTTGAGTCTATGTAAGGTTGCACTGGATTTTATTGTAGGGAATCAAAGTATCAGGGAGTCGGTATTCAAATTTTCCCATGCAATTATTTTTCTTGCACATTACAGTTATGGACTACAGTACCAGTTACTGAAATCAGAATGTACAACAAAAGTGAATTTTATTTATTTAAATTACTGTCTACAAGTCTCTTTAGTTCCTTTCTGGGCTTCTGTTGCTCAGTTAAACTTGCTTTCATGCGTATTTTTCGTCTCTCACTTCAGGATCCAGGATGTACTAATTGGCATTCAAGAGCGTCCCCTAGTGTTGCATAACAGGCCAGACCTCAATAGGATTAGGAGCCACTGCACAGGTGTCTGTCTGCCAAACTCTGACCTGAGAAAGGATCTTGGTTCGGTCTCAGGAAAGATACAGATCGATTTGGACTGGGTTCAGTCTGAACCTGTGACTCATGACAGCCAAAAAATAAATACATTTAAAAATAAATAAATAAAAGGAAGGGATGACAATAAGAACTTCAGTTCCTATGTCTGGTATGTAAAAAACAATGTGCTAAAAGTATATAAATAATAATTATTACAACATGACGCCTGGAATAATGAACTGTAGCCTCACTAGTTGTGTTTCCATTAAAATGAGTGATTTATATATTCTGATCATGGTGTTTGAAACACATTTTCGCTACTCCTGTTTTTCCATTAAATAGGAAATCCATTTAAAATGACATGTGACTAAGTTCGTTTACCCAAAAATGTCATCAAAAGGATGACGTTTTGCAGCAACAGGTGTAAACATGAGATTTCTTTCAGCCTGAGGAGACTTCTGTGTCGTATTGTTTCTGTCGCTACTGTGGAGCAATGTGTGACACGATGTTTCCACCGCAGTTTTGCGAAATGCATCAATTTGATACGACTGAAAAACCAAACCTTTTTATTGAAAAACCTGAATTTAACCAAAATTGGTGCATATTTCCATGAAGTACATTTATTTTTGTACTTTCAATTTGCATCATTTTATGGCCATGAATGAAAATGCAGCTAATAACTTAATTGCCACTCAGAAACAAGGTAGCTTTCACCAAGTCCACAACTTGAAAGCAAGTTGAAAAGGCAGAAAGTCAGGAGAAATCTGTAAGCAGTAGTTTGAAGACCATATAAACTGGCACCCCACCCAGGAATATAAAAAGCCCAATGAAGAACCGAGGCTGTAATTGACCACCTCACAGATTTCTTCTGTTGTTTTGAGACAAACACCAATGCTAACTTGGAATAAACCCCAACTAATCGGATCAGTAGCTTTCAAGCATTCATTGTTTCGAATATGACACTTTTTTCCTTATATGAGCCAGTTGTTTAGTCAGGCTACTTGCTAAAATAGCAAGCTATCTGTTGGCTATTTAGCAGAAACTTAGCAGATGTACTTTTAAAACGCTGTTCTCAAGCCACTCAGGTCTTTAGGCTCAATCCTGAAATGTATTTATTTTTTCATTTTGCTCTTAATTCATTGTAACAGTATTTTGGCAGTTTTGAAACATTGCTTTCTGAAACAGGTGTACAGTATCGTACTGGTACATAGTTTAATGATGCCAGTTTTAGACTCTCAGCAAACGCAGAGACTGGTTCAGATTGGGCTCAGCTGTGAGGTTCAGACTCTGTTTTAACTTACAGTAAGTAGAAGGTTACTTCTTCCATTGAGAAAGCTACAAATTTCACAAAACAAACAACTCGGTTTAACCTTTCTAAGACGTAGGAAGCCTTTCTCCACTCACTTTCCTCCTGCTGCTCTGCACTTCCCTGTGTGTATTTTGGTGACAGGCGTGTGGTTTGCCGTCTTTCTATAGTCGGTGGTGCAGGAGATCTCCTCACATGGTTTGGAGCTCTCCGGTCTGTAATCTCTGAAAGCCACATCACCACCACCCAGATTCATTTCTCAAAGTAAAACTGAGACAAACCCCAGCTGGGCACTCAGAGGGGGGGAAGGAGGGAAGAGAAAGAAAACATACACACGTGACCTATTTGCCAATTTGGATGTGGAGCACAGTTCCATGTGGAGCAAAAACAGCAAACTTGCACATCCTGGATAAAACTTTGTTTTTTATATCTACATTTCTGAAATCAACATTTTTCTCTCCAAAGGGTTAGAGAGTATTTTAAGTCAAAGCCAGGATGACTACAATGGATATTAAGATTATTTTATGACATAAAGTCTGACAAGAATTGAAATGCAATAGAATGAATATATATTTTTTAAATAACTGAGTGATTGTCTTTAATTTTTTAAAATCAAATCTCGACATTCATGGGCTCCCCAAGATTGCCTTAAAATACCTTTATACTTTTATTAATTTATCTGCTTTGAATGTGATTTTTATTTTTTTAATAAAACACAACAAATCTTACCATATTACTGCACCAAGAACCACTGAAGGAAACGACATGAAACCTCTGAAAAAGACCCAGAGCGCAACTTTTGTTTTCACAAAATGCAAAGAAAAATGGAGTGGTGTCAGTCTTTAACGATTGAAGGATTTCTCTTTGTTCTTCAGCAAAAGACCACGATCCATTTAACATGCCACTGAACCGCAGAGTTCCCTTCAACTGAGCCGACACTGATTGATAAACCCGTTGTTCTGTTCACACATCCCCAGTTGAACCAGACTTTCTAGGCTAGCATTCAGGTGAGCTTTAACCGAACGCAGGATCTGAGAAAATGAACTTGTGTCTATATAAAACGACCAACGAGCGGCCAACAGAAACATCACTGCTTCATAATAACAGTGTTCTTAACTGCGATTGTCTCTGACATGTTAGATATAAACCTCTGGACCTGGACCTGGACCTTACTGATACAGATCCATTTACATGTTTTTTCTGCGTCGAGTTGATCAGTTTTTTGCTCCTCTTGCAGAATTTCATTCTAGTTCTTGCTCTGACTTTAGATGCTATCACTCCCTCGTACTGCCGACATGGGGCAGGCTCTGCACCGGTGGCAACAGGATTCTTTAAGAGATGGGATCCTCTTTATCAGACCTGGATAAATCAAATTGAGCAATATTTCACATTATTTGGACATATTCTCCAAGCAAGTTTTTATTCTTGCCGTCTCTGGAGATCTTTGACTCCCAGAGTTTTTGTTGCACTCCATTTTTATGTGTTGCATCGTGAGAAAAAGCAAACAAGTTTATTTGCATGCTACGTCCTGTTAGCCCGATACACCCAACACTTTTGGTTCTAGCATCCCAAATGTATTCTCCTGACTCCGTGAGCAGAGTTAAGTTCAACAAAGCCTGTCCTGGCGCGCCCGGCCCTGGCCTGGATGGAGCTGCGATAAAGTGGATAATGATCACCCTGTCTGACACGCAAAGGGTGGCAAACAAAAACACCACTGTTTCCAAAAAAAATGTTGCAGCAACGATGTCTTTTGTTTTGGCTCTACCTGACTTTAAACGTCTCATTTTTATTCGCCCTTTTTTTTTTCTTTTACATTTTATTCTTTTTAGCAGAATCTGGACTCGACAGCTAAATTAGGAAAATCCTGGTGTGACGTTGGCGTCGGTCTCTCCTTTGATGGAGTACATGGAGGCCATAATGGAAAATGATGAGGAAGGAATGATGGAGTAGGGAGACGCCGCTTGTGCAGTTCCTCTTTTCCTCAAAGGTGGTTCCCTGCTGCAGCGTCTTCATCTGGTTCGTTGCAGTGGGGTGAATTAGAGCTAAAGCAGAAACTGAACATAAGAGCAAAAATATCATCGGTTCTGTTTAAAAGTCATTAGAAAACTGACCATTTGATGCAAAAGTTCTAAACCCTGTGTGGACAGGAATTCGTTTTCTCTACAGTGTTTGTGTTTCAGACGTTGGGAGAGAAGTCCTGCTGAGGTTTGCAGTGAAACAGGATATCAGGACTAAATATTAGCGTTGTTATGGTTACATTATTACTTTGCCATCATAAACCCAGTAGAGGAAGAGACATCCTTGCTGGCGTGTGAAAACACAAGACATCATTAAATACAATTTTCAGTTCTTAATGAGAAACTTTCACATATTGATGTCTAATCTTTTTGTGCTAGGTTATTAATCTGCATATATACAAGAAATAATCTTGTCAACAAAATGCATTTTCATGTTATGGAGAAGGTTAGGACACTTCTACTAGACTGTTCCTTGTACAGTGAAATAGCTGATTGCTAACTGGTCTTTTTTTTTTTTTAGCTCTGCTAATGCTGCAGCGCTACACCAACACAGTTTTTAGTGGAAGCTTTTGCTAAAGCGCTAAGTCCAATTCAAATATCTGCCTATCTCAATATTGAGATTCAAGTAATATCAATAAACAATCAAAATTATGCCAAAAGTCCAAAATTTTAAGAATTTAAAAAAAAAAAAAAAAAAAAAAAACAGACTTACAGCATATTTTCAACCAATCCATATATGGAGTTCAGTGGATTGCTTGGTATGTCATAACCACATGCAGCTGCTTGTAGAGGTTCTCCTTATGTTTTCACATGGCTACAAATGACGGACAAGTGACACACCATAATCAAGGCATATGGAGGTTGATGCATTGTGTGTGTTTGTGAGGCAGGAGGGAAAAAAACAAACAAACTGGAAACTTGCCACTTCATAACTTCAGCCGGTTTGAAGAACAGATTTCTGGCAGCGACATTCACCAAACATATTTCAAAGGTTTTATTTTTCTGGGCAGAGATGCTGGAATTTGATTGAAGTTTGCTCTCATTAATTTACTGCATCTCATTGGGCCAAAACTATAATGAGTAAAAACACGGCTTTATTTTTCCCAAAAGCAATTGATGTCATGGGATTTTTGTTAGTTGGGAAATTCTCTGCCTCCTGCCATCTTTTTTTTGTGTGTTTGTGTGTCTTACTGTTGTACATGACAGCATGATTAGACTTTGAACTGCTCGCTTGTTGTTGCCTGGCGTTATGATTTGATTCAGAATTAATCCATAATTAATTATTTACGGCGGCTCCTGGTGGGCAGTGATCACTGGCTTTTCTGCTTTGGTAATGAACAACAAGCTGTTAACATTGTAGGCTACTTTTAACACTTTGTTTGAAATGTGTTGAAATAGACAACTTAAAAAAAAACACCGCAGATATACATACAGTAGTTTGATGTTGAGAAATGTTACTTTATTTAGGCCGTTTGGATTGGCTATCCAGTGCTTCGCAAAAGTATTTTTGCCCCTTTTTCAGTCTGGATGCACCATTGAGAAGCCTAAGATCTGAATCCTTCAGTTTTCTCCTCAATTGGCTCTAATTGCCTAAATATTGAAATATCTGGATTTTTTAAACTCATTTGTTAAAATGATCAAAACTAAGAACTCCCACTATGTTCAGTCTTAAACACACAGCAGGTTCGCTAATTCACTTTTTGAGTTTAATAAATAGCAGATAAATGTTAGGTACACGTGAGTTAAAGCATAAATAAGGATAATGTCATTTTCCTTCATTTTCTGTTGAATTCAAAATGGCCACTGCTATCACAAAACACACACAGCATGATTTACCTCTGCCATGTTTTTCCTATATGTTGTCATGTTGAAAAACATGCCTGGTGGATCGAAACGTGACAAAACAAATGAAATTTTGTGGAACATCGAGTCCTTGAAGTGTGTGTCATTTTTTAAATTTGCTTCCGTTCCAAATAGTACATGTGTATTGGGATCAAGGCTGTGGAGTTCAGTGCTAATCAGTCCATTCTGTCTATTATTTTTCTTTTATAATTAATAATCAAGTAACTGAATGAAACATCATCGCCCTATAAGTGCACTCAAGTGGTTAGATAAATATTTGCTGAATTATTCAGAAATTAGTTTGAGTCATCGGTTTTGTTTTTTTAGGCAATGTGGAACAGTTAAAGATTTGAAGACATTTGCAGCAGGTATAGCAGCCTTGGAGCGGCCCTGTCCCCGGGGTTTACACAGCAATGTTACAGGACGTCTCCTCCGTACGTCAGAGACCACACCAGGCCTGGAAACAGCACGGACGCTCTTGGTTTGTGGTTTTTATGTCAGCGCCGTGTGTACTTAGCACTGACTAATGTGACTGCTCAAATGTTCTTCATAGAAACGCGCAGAGTATTGGCTTGTTTTGAAATGGAGCCGGGTTTGTTTTAACAGAGCGTCATTCTGTAAATGCTGCACTGATTTTATACATTCGAGACTTTTATCCAATTATTTATGGAGTCTGAAACATTTTTATATGTAGTCTTCAACAAAACAAACAGGTGAAACATCAAGTGAAAATTTTCTAACATGATCTGTGATTTTGAATTATGTTCCATTTGCTTGTTTCATTTCTGAATTTGACCATGTTGTAAAGGTTGCTTTGATCTACAACTATTGAACCATTCTAGGTTTTATTGAGCCTCTGTTAGCAGAGGGACTCGGTTTGGTTGTTTGATCAGAAAACTGCCAACTGCATGTGCTCTAATCTATACCAGCAACACTTGGACTTGTCGTATTATCTGGGTGAAGTGACTTATCTGGAAGGCTCATTAGTTTTCCTTTGGAGTATCGATTTTTAATCAGACTGCCATCAGTGTTTGTTTTCTTGTAAAAAAAGAAAAAAAAACTGGAAAAGAAAACAGGAGAAAAACAGACGGGGTTGAGGAGAGAGGTTCTGATTTAATCATCTGGGGAGAAAACTTCACAGCAGCTTGTTTTCTCATCAAACAGACCGGTGCTTAGTTGTTTAAACAGACTGCTCTTGTGTTTTCCTTCTCAAAAGGCAATTTAAACTCCGTCAGCGTTTCTTCATATCATGAGGCTTGTGGCTTCTACCTGCGATCGTCGAGGAAAGACGCCGTTTCTCTGTGAAGCTCAATTTAAATCTTGCGACGTCGGCTTCACTTGTGCGTTTTATGTGTTAAAGTGTCATCCAATAATACGAGAAGTCTATTAAAAAGAAAATGGATGAATAAACAGTTCCTTCAGTCTTTTATGATTCCACCATTGCGTAAATTCATGCAAATTTCCCATGAAAATAGTAAAAACATTGGGTTTAAGTCATGCTGCCTCCCACCTGCAGGTGGCAGTATTTCTTACTTCTATGCTGCTGCCTAGGCTTACTTGAGGTAGTTATAATCCATGCTCGGCATGGAAAGTAACAAAAATTTAGCTGTATAAGTTCTTTCAAGAATACAAGTTTGCTTGTTTAAACTGTCCAAACTTTTAATCATCTTTTCCCCAAATGTCCTTGTAAATATTTCTATAGTAGCGCCACAAAATTAGGGATTTTTAAGACAACCCCCCCCCCACCCCCAAAAAACAACAACAACAAAAAAACACTCAAGCAATTGTAAAATCCTGCAGGGGCTGAATAAAGTTACATAATACTTGTTACTTAGAGAGAGTTTTATCAAACATACGGTTGTGATAATTGATTTTAAGTGGGGAAGGCTTGGAGGAAAAATTAGGGAAAAACAAAGAAATTATATTTTTTGTTAGAACAACATAACCAATGTGTCCAGTGTTGCTTTATGGTGGATTAAAATAGAAGAATGACCTTAAAGTCTCTCCGTTTCACGCAGAGCCGTCGTGTGTGACGACTGAAATCTTTTATTACCTAAACGACTGAAGGTGATTTCACCCTAATTTTTGCCAAACTTCAGAATAAAAAGCAACAATCATCTCTTACCTGGAAGCACAAAGGACAATCGGCCAATCAAATCCGTCTCCTAGAAACCGTTTTCTCCAAACGCTGCTGTATTCAGACGGCTCAAAGTTGGCTTGACTCATCAGGGATTTGTTCAATCGCTGAAAAGTGAACAAAGCTCTCACTCACTTCACTCTTACTAATCAAATTACAGCGTCACATGCTGCCAAGAAACTAAAATTTAAGAATCACAATCAAATGTGACGGGGAAAAGTCAAAAGAGGGTTTCATCCGTAATGGATCTGTTGGTTCTGTAATGGAGTCGTTCAAGCTGTCACTCTTCTCATTGACCTGTCTCCTCAGCTGCCGTTTCCTCCCGGCCCGATCAGAGGATGGTTGGCTGAACTCTGAGCTCACTGATCGGCCGGCTGAGCATTGCTGGTCGCAGCTGCTGTCATGGCCAAAAGCCCCGAGGTGAAGCTGGCTGTGTTCGGCAAGGCGGGGGTGGGCAAGTCAGGTAAGCCTGCATCATTTTGTTTTGCAGAATCTTCATAGTTCATTTTATTTGTTGTGTCTGTTGTTTGTTCTAGTTTGTCTTTTTGGCTGTTTAGAAACATCTCGAACACTGGACCATTGGAATGCCAGTGGATCTAATCAGATTACACATTTTTGTATAAAAATGTTATGCAAAAACCATCATACTGTACTCTAACTCTAGAGTATTGTACTCTCAGTACCCAGGACTTTAAGTGCAACATGTTTGGAACTTCAAATTGGAGGTACATGCTGACATCTGTTTCTCTTCCAAGATCACCTACATAAATAAAAGTTTTAGTCCACTCAACAGTTTGAGGGCTGATGGTTGCTTGTTAACTCATTTTATATTTTCATCTGCCTCATCTTAATTACCAGTGTTGTTGTGCCTTTTCCATCAGCACATACCCCGTCCGTTTCTGTAGTCATTATTACAGTAGGTGGTTGTTTACCGTCCCTCTGTACATGCCTTCACTCCCACAGCTCATTTTCAGCTGTGTTCCTCCGTAAGCCGAGGCAGCGCAGCCTCCGCTGGCGCGCCGTACGTTTTCTCGGCTGTAACGCGGTCCGTATGTTTTCCTGGCAGCTGAAGAGACAGATTGCTCCTGCGTGGAAATCAGATGACAAAAAACATGCTTCTGGATTCCTTCCACCCCGGAGGAGGCCATTAAAATGTCAGAGGAGGTCAACTCCAGTGCAGTCCTCAAAAGCGTAATTGCAGAGCAAGAGAGGCTGTAAAACATGGCCATCATAGCTAACGCTGTCAAACGTTGAGTTCTTCCAAGATTTTAAGTCGGAGCTTTTCTCCGCAATCAAAGCCTGATTGAGTCGAGTTCCTTCCCCAGAAAACCTGTCAGTTATCCCAACAACCTGCGTCTGCCTTAATGCATCACCGCATTCAGACAGGAGACTCAGAGAAAGCAGGGAGGAAGTGGAAGGTGGTGATCCAGCTTCGGCCCTTGCTGTAGTAAACAGCCCATTTTCCTTCAAAAGGAACACCCAGTGGACATTATTGAATTTGAAGGCCTGCTAAATCATTCTTAGCTCAGATCTAATTTCATAACTCAAACATCATAGAAAGAAGAAGAAAACACGACTGTCTGTTTTTGTTGGCTGATGAATCCCCTTCTTTTCTTCACCAGCCATTATCGCAGAGGGGTTTCATGATCTCCCGGTTAGCCATCAAATGAAATGCAGGAAATGTATCAAATTCATCACATCTGCAGTCTGGCTGCACCAGAAATATCATGAAATATCTATCATGAAGCAAATTAGCCTCTGAGTCAAAATGTTTACAACTGTAATATATCTGCAAAACTAAATACCCGACTCAGCGTTTCCCCCAGTGCATTGTAAGCTAGTCTTTACTTTCTCCTGTCAGTCTAAGCATCGTATCTTTGGTGTAACGGTTGAAAGTGCCATGGCAACATGTTAGGTCTTTACTTGAACACAAAGTTGTGTCTCTTCTTTTTAATCACCGTAACAGCTGCCTGTCTCTACTGGTCTACATGTTAACAACTTCACCAAATAAAGCACCATGTCGTGAATAAAGGATCGAAACACGATGGACAAGCGTCCATTTTCCAAAGAGGGAGACAAAAGAGGCTGCATGTTCAGCCAGCTGACCGGCGAGAGCGCATACCACCGGGCCGACGTCGTTGACATTAGCAGAGCTGTGGCTAAGTGAGGCAGAGTGCTAGCTAGCCTGGATGTTAGCATATTGCTAGTGTCTCACACACGCTTAATGTGTGTTCTGGCACAGCTTTAGCTCTGTATCAGCATTTTTTTTTTTTTTTTACATTTTTTGTGCTTGCCCATTTTAAGGCTAATAGTTGGTGTTGAAGTATGTTCAATTTCTTCCAATGTCACATAACTACGTCGTTATGCTTTTAACTTTTAGCACTTTTTAACACAAAACACAGAGGACAGCTGGTAGACTACCATAAAGAACCCAGTCCGCCAGGCTTAGCAGGCCTTCAAGGGGAAACCCTGCTACTGTTTAAGCTAATGCTATGAAACAAACACCAATGTTGTACGGTACTTGATGTTCTGTTAAATAAAACTATTATTTGCAGAACACGCAGCTCTGCTGTTACCCAACTCTTCCCTTAGACTCCCTTTCCTCTATTTCACATAGAAATGTGGAACCTAACAGTTTGAAAGCGACACTTGATGCTACATGTAGCCCCAGTGATCTCTGCAACAACAAGCCGCTCTCCTGTAAACATAGACCTTTAATGGAAGCCTACAGATGCTAATGAATTTGTTTTGTTCTCGGTCTGCAAACATGTGGATGCAGGCGGTAAATTACTCTCCCTCTTTGTGAACAATGTAGCAGGGAGGAAAAACAAAGCTGATTTACATCTTGTTTTGCGTCTGTGATGGAGGGAGAGCGCCGGTCTCTAGATTTGCATTTGCTGCTGTGGGTCACGGATTCGACTGAAGATGCTTTTAGCGCCTCAGAGAACACAACACTAAAGGTAATTGCAATACTTTTGGAAATTTAACTGCCTGTGGGGAAAAAAGTACCACCATTAGTGTTAAACAGCCCTCATTAATGAGCCTTTTGTCATCGCACTGACCTCAGACAGCACTACCATGTGGCGCCAGTGGTTTCTTTTTTCACTTCTTGGAGATCATCCCTAATCATCGGTTTCATACCTGCAGGGTGTTTGGGTCTTGCTGGGGGTTTTTCCAGGCCTGCTGGTTCTGCTCTGACCTGGACTCCTGCAGAGCTGCTCTGCTCTAATACAGAGCAGAGTGTATTAGCCCCAGTGTGGCTTCTGTTGGCACTTTACTGATTCTCACTTTATTGACTCAGCAGTGGAAAGTGAGCAGAGGAAATAAGAATCATTTAACCAATTAGAATCCTCCATCTTTGGCTTTGGTACATGCATGTAGAGTGCTGTGGAACTGTATTTTTGCCCCCTCGCAGATTCCTTCGGCCTTTGCTTGTTTTTTCGTCAGACTTAAACGTCTTGCATTGTTAAACAAATTTTATTATCAGACAGCAAAGTTATTAAAAAGTTTTGTTTTTTTTAAAAGGAGGGAAAAGCTGTAAATACCAACTTGTCCCAAGTGAGAATGTAATTAGCTCTCAACTGAAGAAATTAACTGGCAAACGTGTTTCCATCCATGTTTATGCACATTTTGAAGCTTCGTATTAGAAGAGGTTAATGGAAATGGAAAGTTCCAAAATAACTTTTGCAATTTTGCAAAAATAAAAAAAGTGTGTTTTTGGTGGTTCGAAACAAAAGTTAATTCACTAATCAGGAAATGGAAACACGATGAGAGCATATCCTGATGTAGCAAACTTTCCCATCTGTCTCACCAGAACTACCAAACTTGGGAAAATCCAATCCAGGCCTCCATCTCAGAGTAGAGGACTCTCTGTATTTCTTGTGGTTCATGCTGGTTTGCAACCTCTACTTCCTGTTTATTATTATTATTTTAAAAGTTCGCTCAAAATTCGCATAACAATCATATGGAAGCGTAGCTACTGAGTCTTTCATGTTATATTTGAACTTAGACTAAAGTCAGAACCTTCATTTTGTTTTTCGAGTCAAATCTTAAGCTGCCAGTTGTAAACGTACGGCTGGACAATCTGTGTCAGGATTTTCTGGTAGAAAGAATTTTTGGTTTCATCAATTATGACAAGATATCCAGTTTTCTGATTGAGCAGAGCAACCCCACATCCTCACACTGCTGTCCGTTTTATGCCAGATATCACGGGATACACACCGTCCAAAGACTTCCACTTTTCTCTCTTCGGTCCACTGAATATTTTCTCCAAAAGTCCTCTTGTGTCTGGCAAATGAGACTGCCTTCTGTTCTGTTTGGATACCATAAACACTGATGTTAACCTGTTGGTCTCAGGGTGTCAAACTCCAGTCCTCAAGGGCCGCTGTCCTGCAGTGTTTAGATGTGCCAGAGGTAAAAAACAGTGGAATGAAATGGCTTAATTACCTCCTCCCTATGTAGATCGGTTCTCCTGAGCCTTGCTAATGACCTAATTATTCTTTTCAGGTGTGGTGCAGCAGAGGCACATCTAAAAGTTGCAGGACAGAGGCCCTTGAGGACTGGAGTTTGACACCCCTGTCACTAGAGGACCCAAATTTGGGTCCTCTAGTGACAGACAGGTTAAGGGTGCTGCATTCCCACCAGCCCTGTGAACGCACAACCAAACTCTGATACAGACCAAAGAAGCAAACTCTGTTCAACTTTGACTCAGTCAGTTTGACTACCATACGGACCGGAGGCCGTTCCTGAAGTAGGAGGCGGACTATGTCTTCTTTCATATCCATTGCTGAATGTTTTTAGATTGAGATTTGATCCGTTGCTTTGTGCCACCTTTTAAGCGATCATGTTGTCAGACAGGTTCTGTTTAAGATATTTCTTTGTCGTAATGGTCTGAAATAATCCAGTCTGGGTGAAACTGAAAGCAGCCTTGTGATTATCTTTGATATTCAAAATTATGTAATAATACCAACCATTTAAGTGAAAAGCTTCAATCTGTTTGGAGGCAAATGCTCTCTGTGATTTAAAATTGTCCTGGCAGTATTTTACTGAACGCCCTGGAGGTTCTTTAAAAGCCAAACTACCAATGAAAAAATTCTCTTACACGTTCTACTTCCACTCCTTCTTTCAATGGTTATGAAAGTGAAAAAGAACAGAGCAATGTGACAACAAAAAGGAGAGCAACAACAATGGACTGAGCCAGCGTGTGTCTGCCGGTGAAATACCAGTGTTTGCTTTCTCCGGCGTTAGCAGTGAACTGTGACTCAGCTGGATGTACAATGTAAACAGTAATTCAGAGGCCAGACAAGAGAAACAAAGCAGCAAAAACAAGTCGTGACTCACAACTATTGGGATATTTTAATCACCATTTTTATGTTCAAATTTGTTCAGAAAATACCCCAAGTAAGGTTCTGGTACTTGACCTACTCGCCTTAAATTGAAACAGAAGATTGTGTTTGAGTTTTT